TGAAAAACCTAGCAGTAAATTGTGCAACAATTGTCAGATATAATCCATAATATTTTAATTCTCCTCACGCCATGTGCATGGATTTCGATCCGAGATGGCTTAGAGTAATACAAGTAAGCAAATTCTTAATTAATAATCAGGTCTTGGTAGAAGAATTAATTGATCGCACCGCCTCTGCTGACGTCAGTTAGTCTCTTTGTGCATATATTTGGTTAAGTAAATCCGCCCACTTACTATTAAAAACGGTCTCTAACAAACTTTATGTAAACATATCCATTGCATAATAGACTAATTCTATTGACGAAATAAGCCTTTGGACATTGTTTATAGGTCCATGATTGTTTAAGTGATTAGCTTCTCTTCGCACAATACCTCTGACTATGAATAGTTCGCGGCATGTGAATGCTTCTTTTTTACGATTTTAAAAGTATATTTACCCCCACTTCGTCTGTGTGTCTTGGCATTAACCCCATTCCGTCGGCATTTGTGCAATGCATAGGCAAGTTTGCTTTTCGGCTCCAGAAACGCGTATTACAGACGACCTAGTTTGTGGAAGGAAAGTAGATTTTTGGGAGTTGCACAAACACGAATGATCGCGTTTCCATGCCCGTGTGGCATGATTGTACGTGGGAGGAGGAGGAGGGGGTGACGGGTTGGAGTGGGCGTCCCTCCTTGAGGTAGCACAATGCGGACTCCAGGCTTTGAAAGATACATGACGCGACACCCCCGTAAATAAATACAAACCAACCCACACGGGTGCCCACTGTCACTGCACTTTTGTCTCACGAGAAGCTTACCAACATATCTGACGTCTGACCAACTTTTACAAAAGTGCGCAAATGTGGAGTTGATGGTCCGTCTACTTTCGTTTGCCCTCCTCCTCCCCTCAAAAATGTTAAAATAATGCCCTGAAGTTGATTTTAAAATAAATACATCTGTACGCGCGACAGAACCATAACCAAAAGGTCATCTGAGCTGTGGGCGCCAATTTTATCGCCTTTAGGGCGATAAGTGTCATCGGAGGTGTTATAAGCGAATCGTAACATTGAGGCGAGAAAACAGTTTGTGGAAGAGGAACGTACAAAAAATGGGTGTTTAAACAAAGAGAGGGGAAAGCGAGCCCTTTAGATGCACAGCCGAGGTTGTCACTAATGTGGTCCACTTCTGAGGGTTGACAGATGAGGAGAGGATGCAGATGGTCAGCATGTCTCTCCAAGAGTGGCATCACTTTTCTCTCCATCCATCCATTCTGAGGTGTAAAATGGAGTCCATGTGCCTCCAATGGTTTTACCTGTTGGCAGCTCGAGATCAGACAAGTCAAGCATTGGTACGAATTGACTGAAGGTGGCTGTGGGCCACGCCAGACAACCTTCGTCCACCTTGAACCATGTGAATCGCCTTCTCTCTCTCCCTCTTTCAATCCACAAACTTGGTTACCTTTATTCCCATGCCTTACAGAGTGGAGGGGAGGGCGGGGTGGGGTTAGTCGGATTGGATACCACAACACCGCCACACGAAAGGTGTTAAACACAAAAACCCACGCCAATATGTCATTCTTTTTGATTTACCAGCCTTTACGTGGTGATGGAAAAGTACACCCACGCGATTTGCGTATTTCCTCTCCATCTCTTTCCCTCTCTCTCTTTCTCACACACACACACATTTTCGAGTTGAAATTTAGGTTTTTTACCCCAGTACCTGTTACTTCAAAGCAAAGAGGGTACAATTCAAGCCCTTCTTCCCCATCCCCTATCTACCTACCTATATAACATGCCCTGTAACGACGAGATCGCCTTTTTCCTCTCCCGAATTTGAGCACGAAGTCAGTTATATTGCTTAGCGCCCTGAGTCCTCCCTGGAGTTGAAAGTAGTCATAATATTAGAGCGTAAAATGTTTTGCCTGTGCACAGAAGGGCTGAGGGGCTACTGCCGTGGCCCGGAGGCCACACCACCGAGCGGAAGTAAAATCAGCGGAACGTTAGATGCCCGCGTCACCAAACAAACAAACAAACAAACCAATAACCAAAGTATTGCAGTTATTCGAGAGATTCATCCTTGTTTTACTTGTGTCTTTTATAAGGTAAACAAAGCATTAAATTTATGATTTGCGGAAGGTCATGAAAAATAGCGTGAGATTTCCGCGAAAATGTTATTGAAAATAGAATAAATCTTCAGATTTTTTTAAACAAGATCTGTCCAATCTTTCGAGTTTTTGCTACTTTGACATCAGTGGCCTATTTTGGACTAAAAAGGGGAGCAACCTGGGGGCCGCCTCGTTTAGAAGAGGCGCCACCTGCCCCGACGTGATCCAGGAGTAGCGAAATTGGTCTATCTCACTTCCCTCCCTCCATGGCATAGGAGAAGTGAAGAAGTATTTAAAAAATGAAGCAGATTTTATGACCAAGCTTTAATGAAGGGGTTCACCGACGGTTTTTGTTCGGCTGTGCGTTTGACTACACAGGTAAGTAGCGTCTTCCAGCCTAAAGAATCCGGAGTAGAGATATGAAACAGTGTAAGGACAACGTCCATCAGAAAGGTCAGCTTATCAGTTGATGCCAATTTACATGCGTTAAAATGTCATTCCATAATGAAATGTCAAATTTTGAGGTATTTTTGTAGCAACCGAAAAGACACTAACATTGAGCATTTCTATGTTTTGTTTGAAAAAGAGACTTAAGATGGAGTGAAAACTTAAATGATGATGATGATGATGTCAACTAAATTGCAACAATGGGTGTGCAGAAACACCCTTTGGAGCGATCCACCCTGGTGATGGTGGCAATAGACGTAGCTCCAAGAATTATATTCAACAGTTGATTTCACTTGAGTCACCTAATTTCACTTGATGGTGTGATAATAATGACCCCAACTGCTACCCCATTTCTTGGCAGGTGTTAATTAATCTTGACTGCAGTTAACAAAGGAGCCCAAAAGTGCCAAGTAAACAACACCACTCTATGTAGGCTAAAAAGACACCCTTTTAAATTCATCTCCACAGATGCCACCTACAGAAAAAAGTTGTTTCAGGGCATCAGGTTGTCTCCAACGCAAAGTCATAAATGCTGAACAGGTCTATGACGCCGTGCCTAACCGTCTAGTCATCTTAAATCTCTTGCTTTCCTCTTTTCCTAACTTTTAAAAACTTCCAGAGGTTATTTTCTTTGCAGATTTTTTTAAAAGAGGAAAAACTTATAGTTTGGTAATCCGGAACGTAAAAAGGAGCCCTCCTTTGTGGATGCCTCCTACAATCACACTAATACTGTATTTCCACACGTGATTGCCTGCAATTAACAAGACAACCACTAAAAGATCGCTCCAGTTTATCAGCACCTTAATTACACATTTATGCTTTTTGTTAAAGGTCTTTTTAGAAAAAAAAATCGCAAAGTATAAACAAAAAAAAACGCGAGTAGCAGTGATTACATCTCCCCATGCGTGATTGGTTGGCGCCTGACCAATGAGCTGCAAGCGCATTTTTGATTCGCTCAGTATAAAATCCGTGTGGACGTTTGCTGATACCATGCGATGCCTCATTTCTAGGCAAACATGAGCTCAAAGTGGATTTCTCAGCGTGACTTCTCCATCGCCTCTGAGGAGACCGGCAACTCGTTGAAGGAGAGAAGCCTCCTCGCTCCCCAGGCCCGCGTATTCGAGAGATTGCGACGCACGGTGTCAATGCCGAAAGGAGGAGAGATGGAGAAGCCTAAAGTGCCTGATGCACGGCCTGAATCACCGCAAGTGAAAACTGACTACTTTAAGGGCTTCAATCGAGCAAAATCACTATTCTTTCACTCCTGTCGTCTGACCAAATCGGAGAAGAGTGAAAAGTCGTACAGAAATCCTCTTTCTACCGCCTTTAGCAAGCACAATCATTGTCAGCAGCAACAATCAAGACCGTCTGTGGTTTCAGAAACGGACACAGTTGCATCTTCACTTTCCTTTGATGGAGAGGACGAGGAAAGAGAAAAGGACGATGATTTGTCTAGCGTCTACGAACATCCAATGCTCGCGGAGTTGGAAGCCGAGGTGACTGTTCCTCCACCACCACCCAGAGCCCGTCCAGCATGGCTCAAAGCTGCGTTGGAGAAGTCTCGAGAGACTTTGGAATCATCTCGTCAGGTGAGAGCTTCATCCCCCGTAGATATTGTCTCCTTAGCTGCGTCTGTTTACTCCGAGGATGGCAGTTTCTTGAACTACTTCGACGATGGGGAGGACGATGGTTATGCGGAGGTTAAGATTTATCCTGTGTTACAGAATGGTGTCAAGATTAGTGACACTCATTATTGGGTCATTAACCCCCCTAAAAGGCGATTAAGACGTTGGCAGGATGCAGGGATCAATTCTGACGGCAGACCGACTACTTTATCAACCAAACTGTGGAATGAAGGACATTCACACTACGAAAATCTGCCCGGCACTTCAGCCTGCTCTTCACCTGGAACTAATGTACAAAGCGAGGACTTTCGATCAACCCAACTTCGAAGAGGCCGATCTGAGTGCAATAAAGAGGTACTACGACTCATTCAACGAACTCTAGTCGAGAAGTTGCAAAATCAAGTGCCTACCGCGAGGTCAGATGAATGTCGAGCTGTTCTAATCGGTTCAAGTTGGAATTTCCAAAAAGCCCAAAAACGTCTTAAAGTGGAGCTACTTTGTCGACTGGGCTGTGCCTCCAAATCTGCCTGTGAGAGAATTCTTGAAAGGATGGATTGGAATTTTGACGCAGCTGCCGAATACATACGTAACAGTGGCAGTCCTCACCAATCCACACCGCTTTCCATCTACCGACCACCGCTATCACGCACCGCTAGCAGTACCGGCGATTCGGCTAGCGTCACACCGGACAATTCGCCCGACATCCTCTACCTCAACACCACATCCGCACCGTTCCCCTGATGCATTCAAAATGCCTTCAATGTGTATAGTCGACGCCATTCCATTAAATTGTCAAGACGCACAAATCAACCCTAGCATTCAAATTCACACGCACGCACCCAAGCACGCACACCAGAAAAGACACTGCATTTAGACGACCTACTTTGATGTTTCACTATTCTTTTCAAATTGTACCTAACAGAGTTGAAGAGGCAAAAAAAAGACTAAAAAAAACTGGAAAAAATGCGTTTTTTTCTTAAAGGGTGGAAATTTTGAGCCGTTCTCCTCCCTCGGAGGTGTGCATGCGTGCGTGTACTGTATCAGTGCGTCGGTGTGTGCGCACGCACACTTGCATGCCTGCACCCTCCAATAGGATACCACGGTGAGGTAGCACGTGGGCACATAATTATCGATCCGTCCTGTGAACGGACTGAAGGCGGTGTGTGTGTGTGTGTGTGTACGAGTGTGTGCGCGCACGCTCGTGCGTTCCTCCGCCACCGTCGTCGCCGCCGTCCCCTCCGCTCTTGCGCTCTGCCACAGCGTGGGATTCGATACAATTTAATCCGTACAAAATTGTTAGTTAAAATTTTAAAATATTTTATTTTGTTTATTTGTTTTTCTACCCTCTCAACTGCTTGGTAGTTGTGTGACGCCACAATAGAGACAACAAAGTGGATGAATTTTACATTCCGTGACAAGTTTATCGCTTCCTTCTTTCCGTGGGAGGCGGAGGTAAGGTGGAAGAGGGGGGGGGGCATGGTACAACCACACCGAATTGAGAGAGCTAAACAATTGTGAATATTTGCGCCCCCTCCGCCCCACCACCAGAGGTGTCAAACCGTTTTTCAAGGGCACAAAAGTTGAGGTTGACCCAGCTAAGCGTCACCGACGTGGGACAGAAGTGCCACCACATAGCAGATATGCAATCGCCTCGTAGCAACGATGGCAGCAGCATTGGCGCGTGAGACTTTCAATAACTTCGCTGCTTATAAATGTGCGTATTTACCATCTCTCCCTCTCTCTCTGTGTGTGTGTGTATGTGTGTATGTGAGCGAGTGTGTGTGCATCCAAGATGACTAAGTGATAATACACCTGCCAAAATTTAATTTCAAAAGCCAAAGAAGGAGGAGGAGGAGGCAAAAGCAGTCCTGCTTAATTGGATTTTGTTAGCATCAGTAAAACTACCCATCTTGTGTGGATCGCTTAGGCGACTCCCATAGAGAATTGCTGTAAGTCCGCTTAACTTCATTATCACATTGTACAATCAGTTACTGTCGGCACAACGATACAATTAATGTGTGGCTAAGTGAATAAACTAACTATGGATACATGGAAAGGGGGATGGACAAATAGGGCAAGGATGGATAAGGGGGTGGAGGGTGAACACAAAGCGCCCGCTTCCTCCCACCTCATCTATTCCTAGGCTGACATCCACCCAACTAACCTTCATGTTTCCAGTCGCTCCTGCAGAAGGTAATCGTGTGAGTGTTCATTGCTTGTCACAGCCTCATTTCCCCAAGCACGGCCTTGACCTCTCGATTAGCCACAACACGGATGCACTTAGGAGAGAGCCAATCCATTTCTTCCACGCCGAAAAGCACTTATTTCCGAGCCCTTTTGTTCACTCCGGATATTGCCCCCTCGTGTCTTGCCTTTCATCCTTATCTCTACATCCCTCCCTTTCGCTTTTCCCCATTCCTCGAACGTTTAACGGGGAGGAGGACAAAATTAAGGGCCAGATATTGTCCCCTCCCCCCCCCGGAGAAGGACTGACATTTAAGCGGAGACAATATGAAATGCCGAAAATAACTAGAATCCTAAACAGTGGAGAATAATCAACCAAATGAGAGCATAAACGATCTGAAATAACATAGATTCCAGAAACAAAACGTTTTGCAGACTGCTGACACATAACGCCCATAATCAAGTGACAAGGGCAACGGGTCCCCAAAAAATTGACAGCCCCTATTTTATCCCATCCTAAATTTGAAGAAAATTCAACATCTTTAGAAATTACCCGTTAAATTTACATGCCTAATGAAAGAAAAATACGAGTGGTAAGACGTGAACACCAAATTTGTAAGTGTCAAGATGGAATTTGCGTCAGCAGTTCAGAGGACGGGTTGGAGGTATTCAACGGCACATTCTGCATACAGCGCGCAAGTTAAATCTCCTTCGTTTGCACAAGCCCGTGGCCAACACACCAGTCGAAAATGCTAAAACGCGTGCTTCTACGCGCGACATTTGACGTCACCAAGCGATCCGTCAGGTGAAGCGCGGGCTAATGTCCTAAAGCCCATTAAGTTCCCCTCTCTCTGCTTGGGTGCATTTCCTGCGCCCCACCCTAGTGAATCGCACCGACGAGGAGAGGGGCCGGTGGATGGGATGAGGCAGGGCGGAGAAGATTCATCTTCGGGATTAAGGGATCACCTGCTTCTAACATGTGATTCACAACATAAAAGTAACAATAAAGCGACCCGTTGCCGCCGCCAATATTGGAGCCCTACCCAAGTGGGAGATTTACAGTACACCGAAAAAAACGGGCCTTCTCGATGTAAGGTTGAAGTTTGCGCGTACTTTTCCGCACTCATAATCATGAGGAAGTAGGAAGCAAAAACGTGATTGACTGCCGGAATGAAACGTTCATTCCACTCCTTTAAAAGGTAACGTCACCCTAAATCTCCTCATGACTGACAGATTACCTTGCAGTCTTACGTGTACACCATAATTGCGAATAATACGCCACCAACATGATGACGTCTGCGTATTACGTGATAAAAATAGAGAAAAAATGTAGTCTTTTTGAAAGATATTGAAAAATAAACTCCACCCACTCAGTTGAGGCTAAAATGACACTAACTACCCACTTAAAGGGTAATCTAGCGGCGCTATTGGCTGTTAGGTTAGCCAATCAGTGGTCGACTTTGCGATCCTAAGCTCAAATTAAAAATCGTACTGGATTTGAGTGCGATTTGGGCTGGCGAATGGCACGGGTGTAGCAAAGCTCTCCGAGGTAGTTACCACAGCAAAAATTGCAAGGAATGTGATGGATTGCATATGTTTTGGCAGTTGTACTTTTGGAGTGTGTTTTGTGGCCTGATTGGGCGACAGCCCAAATGTTTGTATTTTGTTTTTTTTGCCTTCCCCGACTGCTGTTTGGCCTGTGAAATGAGGCAGTTGCTGGCCTTGGGAAACAAGACCATGTTAGGCAGTAGTATTTACGAAGTAATCTTTCTTTTTGACTTTACCTATCAGCGAAGAAAGAAATTGTCAACGATTGAGGCTAGCACTGTTGCACACTTTGTCAAGAGAGGTGGACTTGTAAAGGTGTCGGTGGAGTGCTATCAAGTGCCTAGGCGGTGGGGCCGACGTTGCTTTGGCGTCATTGTAGGCCGAAATAATTGATGAGAATCCTTCAATCTGAAATACGTCATGCAAATGATTGCAGTGCTTGTGCGAGTTCAACGTATGCAACAAACTAAAAATTTGAATTTAAACCAGTTCATATAATGCCAAAATTTGCCAAAATTTTGTGGACAAGCGATCATTTAAAAACCTAAACAGGTTTTAATTCAAGTTAGCAAGAATTTTTGGTTTTTTTCTTAATGTCTTTTAATGCTTCATTTTACTGGCCCAGATGATTTGAATCTTGTGCTGATGCGTGTTCGCTGAGTGCACTGCAAAGGCCGATAATTAGGAGGCCGGGTTGAATGACTCAGTCAACCGATCGATAGTTTAGTGAACTCCCCCGCATCCGGATGCGAGGTTTTGAAGCCTCGCAATAAAGCAGAGTAAGATCAAAGGGGTTTTTTCCCTATCGATAAAACGTTGGTGGATTTTTCCGGTAGGGGCTGCAACAATCGAGCCAGGTGAGACTTTTTTATTTTCCCCTTTGTGGTGTCAAATTTCACCTCTCCTGGCATTGCTTTATAACCCTTGTAGAGAGTTGGCCAGAAGGCAGAAACAACTGTTTCGGAGATATAAAGGCAACTGTCTAAATTCTAACCTTGAGAAAGTCAAATTTTCCATTTTGGAAAAAAAAATGGAGAAAATATTTATTCAACAGTGAGGGCTGTAGTTGGTATTGTCTTGACTCTGTTGCTAGCATATAACGGCTCTATTAATAGTTATCCCCATTCCGTCCGTTATCTGGAAGCCAAAACATTTTCCTCTCCTAATTGCACAGAAAACGAGTGAGCCAATACGATCTACCACATATAAATATAAATCTATATAAACAACTATTTATTGCTTTTCCCCGTAGAGGGCGGGTATAGCCGAGGTGGAGGGAGATGAGATGAGATTGGGGCTGTGGTAGCATGCCTCCATCGATGGGCCAATCCGATTGGCGGAGCTGGCTCTGCTGGAGCCGTAAGGAAGCGTTAACGGCCTTTCAGGTAGGAGAAAAATAAGGCTTAAGGTCATCTGTGCCTAAGAAATGCATTTAAATATCACAGGGTTCTAGTAACATAAGTGTGATTATTGATTGTTTACTTTGGGGATTGATTAGCTGGTTGATTGGTTGGTCTATTTATGCATCCATTCATCCACCCATCCATCTTTGGGCAATTTATTTGTCGGTACTCTTCAATCCACTTATAATTCCAAAAATAGTTTCTTTTATGTCTATAAAACTGAAACTCTCACAACCAATCACACCGAAGTCAAAAAGTGTGATTTTGCGTTAAAATGGCGATTTTAGCCTCATCGCTCATTGTGAAACTTCCTACCCTACACACGCATAGAATCTTCTCCAAACAAATATACACATTTATGCATTCAAACATTAATCCACAATGCAAATCATCAATTCCAACCAATCAGCAACTCCTGTCATGTTAAAACCATGGAAAGAGGTGATTTATACCTTTCAGGTGAACATTCGTGCAAAATTACAAGGTGAGAGATGTTTGCAATCCACCTCAAGTCGAAAGGAATCCTTTCGCGGTGGCAAACTCGTGTGGCATGCCTAATTGACAGCTGACACTGGCCCCACACTAGCTTCCAACTATCAACATTAA